TGCAAACGTTCTTTCTGCTTCTCTGAAATCTGTGACACTTGGAGCACACGTCAAGAGTCTTGAGTAGCTGCCCAAAGACTGTTATAGTTACTTAATTCAGCAGAAGATTACTAAGAGGTCAAGTGGAGCTTTTCCACAAACTTGAAGCTTCTTTCTGCTTCTACATTTTTTTCAGGCTAAATAAATAGATGACAAGCAGCATTTATGATAAGGCACAGTGAACAACTTGAAGCTATCGTGAAATAGCTTTCTGTCTCTCTGCAGGTTATTCACTGTACTCCCTGGATCTACCAATTATACCTGCAATCTCAGCCAACGTATCAGCATATAAATTTTTACCTGCTTAGAATACAGACATCTTAATATTTGCTTTCAATTAACATTCCAGATGCTTTTCCCAGCAACATTAGTATATAAACTTCAATTCAGAAAGAGACAAAAAAAATATCAGTATCTTTAGTAATTTAATTGCTCCCACACTGACTTTGAAAAGGATTTGGAACATGACAAAGATTCTGATAGCTGTCATCCTGCTCCTGCCAGGTGCCCTTTTCGGACACACATCCCTGCGTGGAGGCAAATCTGAATTCCTGAGTTCCATGCAGGTGGAGCCTCTGTCCCGTGCACTGCAGACCACAGCACAGGTTATGACTGACAACTGCTGGAGTTCCTTAGGCACATGAGAAAAAAAGGTTTGTGAGGTTTTGTTTGTTTGTTTGTGTTTAACATAGGCCAATGAATCTCAGCATTCTGATAGTACACAAATGTCAAAGGAGATTTTCTTCATTCTTGTATTCAAAAAATTTTCTACTTTGCAAAATCCACTGCAGTAGGACATTTTGCATGCTTCATGTTGCTCGTTTTTTTCCCCTTGGTTGACACATTTAATAATAAGTGATGAAGGTCATTTCTACATGGGAATGGGAAGAACGGGAAATGGCAGCCTGGTAAACAGTGGCCAGGAAACAGTGGCTAGAGATGGTCTATAAAGGAATAGTTTAAAAAAAAAAAAAAAAATCAAGCAAAACTAAAACACTTTCACAATACTGTAATATTTATAATGTGTATTTAAATTATCTTACTGAAATTTCTGCAGAATCGATACTTGATGCTCTGGTTTCTAATGAAATTAGGTTGTTTTTTTTTTTTTAAAAAATGACCCTAGAATTAAGGAACAGAGAAAACATTCAACACATGACTTCACTATTAGGTGTAACACCACCAATAAATTTTGAAATCAAAGACTAAAGCTCTCAAAAATGTTTAATTTATCAGAAAATATTACAAAACAGTAAACCAAAAGTAAGCAATGTTGATGCACTTCAATGACGTCTCATTTAAAAGATTCATCAGCTTTTTCACTACTTTACAGCTACGAGTTAAACCAAGTGTCCTCTCAATAAAACAAAAAGTATGCTTTTCAGGTTTGCAAGGAACAGCCAAAAAGGAAGCTGCAAATACTTTCATACATCTGATATAATTTTTATATATCTTCACAAATCGATATTTGAAGAAAAATGTAGAGTGATTTAAACTCATGGATACACTACAGAAGAAACATGTTAAGTATGTGGTGAGGATGCACCACATTTGTAGAAAACAGGATCTTGGGAGGAGCAAGAGGTAACAATGTTCATCTTTTTCTCATTTACCTAATGTTGCATACCACCTCTGAAAAATCAGTTTAATCAAGAAACATTTCTTTGACCCTCAAGTGTGGCTACTTGCTTGATCTTGCATTTTGGCAGAGAGAAGAGATAATTTATCAAAGACGTGAAGTCCTGTTCTAGTGAGTTTTATTCTTTAAAGATAATACATTAGAAATGGAACCGTCATGGAATCAGAATAGGGAACATGGATGAGTGGAATTTTGTTTAACTCTTTGTGTTTTCCTGTAACAAAATCATGCCCATAGCTAAGTAATAGGTCAAGTGAATTCCCAACTGCTCAAAATATTTTATTTTCTAAAAAAACCCAAAACTCAAACAGGTTCCCCATTTTGTAATTTCTTATTACACTGTCTACCCACACCTAAAGCCATACATTCAAAGGGCATGCACTGACATTATCACATAGACAAACAAAATGCTGGGAAGCACTGCAAGCCCTTGCAAAGATCTGCTGAAAATTCACATCTCTACAGAAATTTTTTAATCTAAATGCGCGGAGTCCAAACTAGTGGCACAGATGGCATGGCTCCTGAATATAATTTCCAAATTAAATTCACAGCCTGGGCTATAACCATCTGCAGTTAACTTTAACCTCTGTGTCCTGGCTAAATTCTAACTGGCATCACTCATTCGCATCCTTCCAAAAATTCCTCAGAAGTTTCTTCCAATTCAATTTTCTCCACATTCCATGCTATAAATGTCTCTAGAGTCTTGCTGCATACTTTCAAATAGCTGCCAGAAGGGGACTGCACTCCCATGATACAGAGCACAATCCATTTGCATGGTTTATAAATACTTCTGTATCCTCTGGAATGGGGACTATTTCCTCAGAACAAAATTAAATTGGTTAAATTGGTGAAGAGTCATTCCAGGTACAAAATTAATGAACTCAGTGGAGTTTTCAGTCTCACATTAGTATCTGACTATATAGAGATGAAACATTCACAACAGAGTGCTGCCACTTTCAAAATATAAGTGCACAGTTTAAAGATCCAAGTTACCATCTCATGCATGTTGGCTGGAAATGTTATAAACCAAGATCACCTCAGAGGCAAAGGCATGCAACAGCACCCTGGCTTTTCACAAACATACTGTACATAATTATTCCGTAGCAAAGAGAGTGCAGGAAAAAAAAAAACAACTTCTGAATGTGACTTCCAGAGCAAGAAAGGAGGAAAAAAAAAAGTACATTGTATTGTTTATACGTAAAAAAAGGAGGGAAATTGTTCTATGTATTACAATTAATAGAAATCAATGAAAAAGACTTAACTGCAAAAAATGCCTTACCTTGAGAAGTTGAGGAAATGAACGTGTCTAGTGAATAAATAGGGCTGCTCAGCAGTGCTTATGTTTTTAATCAATTCCATCTAAAAAGAATTAACAAATCAAATTTTCCATGTTACATCAGCGCACGTTTTGAGACAAACATAACTCTCAAACAACATATGATGATGTAATTTTCAAGTCTGAATTACTCAGGAACTCCTTTCCCACTATCTTCCTCAAACAGTCATCAAGATAACACGACTACTACTTCATGTGTAAGCAAGAAAGGTTAAGCTGCAGGCACCACCCTACTATCATACAGCTTATGTACCTCCAAAAGTGGGTATCAGTTTAAGGAAAGGCATAAACTAAAGGAAAAATCTAAACCCTGCCTAAATCTGTACCAGAGCTTTGCAAGTGGCAGCTGCCTTCTGAAGACACTGGCTCTATTCATCAGAATGCCAAAATGCAAAATGTCTGAAACTGTAACAGAAAGTGGGAGCTGAGCCAATGACCATTTTCATATAACAATAAAAATTGCCAACATTGCCAAAACACTGATTGATTTGTCTGTTTAAATATAGAAATCAGCACTTCCCATTCCTTTTACTACTACAGCACATTAAGACTACAAATTAAATGGGCACTTTTAGAAAGACGATGCTAAGTTCTAGTTCAGACACATTCACACCATTTTAATTATTTTAAAAAAATATTATTTATTTTTTCAGAACATTAAAATGGAATAAGGTAAACAGCATATATTGAAGACTGCACACCATGGATATGAATACCTATATTGTGGAAGCTGAGCTCTAGCTATGATCTAGAGGAAACTAAGTGTCTAGTGGAGCATCATGCTAGAGAGTCGGGACATCCTGGTTAATTTTGCTTCCTTACTATTAATTTCCCAAGATTTATTTTCAGATTTTCTGTTCTGTTCTCAAATGCAGGCCATATTATGGACACTGAACACAAATGCATCTAAAATTATAGGTTTATTGATTTTACAAACTGGGTAGTAGAAAGTAATACAGAGAGTAACAGAAATTCATAAACAGGAAAAAAACCCCACAACATTCTGGTTTGAGTCATATAAATTCATGTACTAAATTTAAATACCATTAAGGAGACACTAACTAAAAAAAATAACCTATCTCTTAAAACTTGAGTGCTATTGCTGACATAGACAAAATAAGGAAAAACACAGGGTCCAGCCTGTTATGTGGTCAAGATAAACTGAGTGGCACGTGATGAGTTACTGAACTAAAAGCTTGAAGAGAATGGTAGAAAATTACGTCTATGCCATAACAAATATTAAACTACATTTAAGGGACAGTAATTGTCAACCATTTTTCCCCTTCCATTTCCCAGTTTCGATATATTGATATTTTGCCATGGTTTTTACACTATGTGTCACATTTTACTGCTTCTCATGCATCTTTCATTCTCCATTTTTATCTGGGACACATAACCTGCTGCCTTCCTTCAGACAACACAAGCTATAGTCATTTAACTTCCAGGAGTGAATAAAAAAGTGCACACACTAATATGCTTTTCCCTACTTTTCCTCTGCCTTCAACAATTTTATACACATACAATGAGCACTGAAGCAAACAGTTCAGTTTGTCTGTCTTCTCAAGATGGGCCTTTTCCTGTCAAATTAGTTCAAGTGCATCAAGGCATATTAGGCATAGACCTCGTATACAAAGGCATGTTAGTTCTGAGAAAGTGTATCAAGGTATATTAGTATATCAAGGTATATTAAGTCTGAGAAAGGCTGTGAACCTAAGGGAATGAAAAACAGAAAAAACTATCAAAAGAAAGACAACATGAAAGGAAAAGAGAAACAAGAGAAAACAGATGTGTGATTTTTTTTTTTAAAAAAGGCAGGAAGGGAATAGTCGCCCTGCTATAATTAGTCATATCTGGATCCTGGACTGTATGATTCAAGTACAAACAGGTCTTTATACAGCTCCTTCAGTACAATATAAATGCTATGAGCAAGAAAATCATAGACCTGAAGAGCAGAGCTCGCCCAGTCCAGAATTAAAAAGCCCAGGAATCTTCTCAATAATCGGCACAAAGTAATTGAGTGTTGTTTGTTAACGCTCTGAAGAGACAAAGCAAACCAAATAAGGTGACGTCTCTTTACAACTGTTAACTCACTCTGCCAAAAAATTATATTCATTCACCTTGCAGAATAAAACAAAGAGAGATGCTAGAGGCTGGGTATCAGATGTCTCAAATGGCTTCTTTTTTTGTTTTTACCTAGACAAGTCACAGAAGTGAAATTCTCAGACCTGTATGAGATTTTATGTTATATTGGCATTTTACCTGTGTTACTCTATCTGCACAAACGAAGGAAGGAAGATGGCAGAGGAAGTTATTAATCATAGAATCATGGAATGGTTTGGGTTGGAAGGGACCTCAAAGATCATCAAGTTCCAATCCCCCTGCCATGGGCAGGGAAACCCTCCACTACACCAGGTTGCCCAAAGCCTCATCCAACCTGGCCTTGAACATTTCCAGGGATGGGGCATCTACAACTTCTCTGGGCAACATGTTTCAGTGCCTCACCACCCTCTGAGTGAAAAATTTCTTCCTTATATCCAATCTAAATCTACCCTCTTTCAGTTTAAATCCATTGCCCCTTGTCCTATCACTACATACCCTTGTAAAAAGTCCCTCTCCAGCTTTCCTGTAGGCCCCCTTTAAGTACTGGAAGGCTGCAATAAGATCACCCCGGAGTCTTCTCTTCTCCAGGCTGAACAGCCCCAACTCTCTCAGCCTGCCTTCATAGGAGAGGTGCTCCAGTCCTCTCCTCATCTTCATGGCCTTCCTCTGGATCGCTCCAGCAGCTCCATGTCCTTCATGTATTGCGGACTCCAGAGCTGAACACAGTATTCCAGGTGGGGTCTCATGAGAGCAGAGTAGAGGGGCAGAATGACCTCCCTCGACCTGCTGGCCACGCTTCTTTGGATGCAGCCCAGGATATGGTTGGCTTTCTGGGCTGCCAGCACACATTGCTGGCTCATGTTGAGCTTCTCATCAACCAACACCCCCCAGTACTTCTCCTCAGGGCTGCTCTCAATCCATTCTCTGTCCAGCCTGTACTTATGCTTGGGATTGCCCCAACTCACATGAGGACCTTGCACTTGGCCTTGTTGAACTTCATTAGGTTCTCACAGGCCCACCTCTCCATCCTGTCAAGGTCCTGATATTGGATAAAAACTCTACTCATGCTACTATGGTCACCACTGTAACTCCATCTTGGAATAAATGAAAAATCATCATTAGAGTATAAATATGGAGATGTAAAGATAGTATACCCATACAAAGTAATCCCTCTGAGTTTAAAGAGACAGGCAACTTTAATTTAATACCGCTAGACAAACATATGTTTGTGGGTATACATGAGTGCTACAAAGCACCACACAAGCCTCCCTCACCCCTCAGCCCACCCTGGGGCTGGTACCAATTTGCCAGCACCAAGCAGATTCACATTATACTGCCACCACATTTCCCATTGCACTTCACCTGATGTCAGTGTCAGGCTCATGTCAATCTGCTGCTGGACTAGCACAGGCATGTCTGCCTCAGGAGCAAAGGGAGTCTGGAAAGACGCACAGAGAGCAGGACAGCGTCTGGCTCCTGGCTTTTTTTATAATCTCTTGCTACCAAACTCAAGCTCTTGAGCTATGATAATAGCTTACTCCAAAGCAGACAGAGAATTTTGTTTTGACTTAAAGTACCTTCGTATTTAGACACTTAATGATCAACTGGACTTGCAAGCAGATGTGGATAAAGCTACAATGTGCATACGAACAAACAAGCAAAAAACATTCTTTTAAACACACCGCCAAAAGGGTAAGCAAGGCTCAACAGAAACACCACACAGATGTCAGGAGGGAAAAATAAATAACTGTAATGGATCACAGCCACATGCAAATTGTGGCCATATTTTCCATGGGCCTCTCTGATCCCACTGTGCTGAACTGATTTCAGTCTAATGAGCCAAAAGTATTGCTCAGGAATACCTAGTGATCTGCCTCTCCTTTTAAGATGACGTTAAAGAACAAAAAAGGAAAAAAGAAAAAACTTTCAACATCTCCCAGAAGAGTAAGGTCTCTAGTGCTTTTTTGTTGTTGTTTTTGTTTGGTTTGTTGATTGTTTTTTTTTGAGGGGCTTGGCTTGGTGTTTTTTTTAATAAGATGGTTAGTGTAGAGGACCCACAAGAGGAAGAGTGAGCAGAGGATGATAGCCAAGGAAAGCAAGTACTTTTGGATGGAATCAGTGATGAAGGCTAGGGAGATACATACAAGCACAAATGATCTAGGTGGTCTTAAACCAACCTAAGTTTGAAAAGAGATGAAAAGGCACAAGTAGCAGAAGATAAACTACCCTGGCAAACACCATTACGGGGGACATGAAGCAGAACATTTCCATGTTTGGAGGGAGAAGCTGTAAAAATATCCGGAGGAAGCCTGAAAGAAGCACATGTCTGGTGGGATAACAGCCCATAAAGTGCCATTCCTTTTTCTTGCTGCTGCTCCAAGCTCTCCTGTGGGAGGTATGCTGTCTCAGTGAAACATGACTGAAAAAGACAGTAATTTGCTTTTAAAATGAACTAAATTGTACCAGAAAGTTAACACTTCTAAACATGGATCCAGGGAGAGGGAAACGCCAGGACACAAAGAGTATGTTGGGGGAGGCAGGTATTGTCACGCCACGTCCACGCACTTGTGTCCTGCAGTGGAGCCCATGGCCCGGCCACATCAGCTCCGCTGCTGGGCAAAAGTGAACAGATGGAACGGAGGAAAGGGGAGGATGCACACCGCACAGCAGGAGTCTGCAGAGACGCTAAACTGCAGCAAGCAGTTGCAAAGACCTCTGTCTCACAGTCAATACACATTTGCTGTAATTCCATCCCTCCCCTTCAAACACCAATTAACTGTAACAAACAGAGTCTCTAGCCAAAACGCCGATTTGCTCCCTAGCATAACATCTTTCTACCACTGTGACTCCATGCTTAAGCTTTTATTCTAAATTTTTCTCCCAAGTTCATTTTCTGCACTGACTTTTAAACAGGACCCTTAAAGAAGGCCAGAACTGCAGAGGCAATCCTGTAAATCACAAGCTATTTTTGAATCTTAAAGCCCACCTGCACAAAAACACCAAGAGGCAATACTCCAAGGGGAAAAGTTTTCCCTTAGTCTACTGTCCTACACTACCACTGCAGGATTTCAATTGGCCATACCGAAGAAACCAAACTGTAACGGCTCAGCATCATCCCTGTATTTATACTCAGCTGTTGCTGCATTGTACACAACAATCCAGGAGATGGCACAGTGAAATGGCTCGAGAGAGGCAATATGGGGCCCCTCCCGGAAAGGGGAGAGCCAGGGCAGATGGCTTTGCTCCAGCCACAACACTGCTCCTGCACAAAAACTCAACTCAGGCTCACGAGAGAGGACACCTTCTTTCCCTCTCCTGGAATGGGCCAGCCCCCCGTGTTGACTGCTCAGAGCAGTCCTGTTTGGTTCAAGATTTGCAAGAGGTAAATGCTGCTGGGAACAAAAAGAAATAGTCAGATAACAATTCCACCTAGACAACAGCCAAAATGTTACTACTTTTTTTAAGCAGCTGTATTTCACTGGGAGGATTTGAGGTTAAATTGTATAAAAATGGTGAGGTATCTGGGATTTTCCAAGTGAAGCCAGCTGGATGACACTATAGTCTCTAACATTGATACGAACAGGACAAAAACCATCTCTGTATCTGTCTTTCTTGTGAGTTCTTTACCTTCTACTGTTTTCAGTCCCTACTGAAGGCATGTAGGGTCCAGGAGGCACAAGTACCTACAGGTATGTGGTATATCACTTTCATCTCGGTATTCATTTCAATAAACAACTCACGGGAATGCGGCTAGATCTTCATTTTCAGCTCTCAAAAATTTGGAATGGTTTCAAGAATTTCTTCAGCTCCCCAAGCTGCTATGACCAATTTTATGTCTTTAAAAGCATTTAAGAAAAATTAGTGATGGCTTTTTAGTTTGTTAAACTGGATGCCGGCCACACAGCTGTAAGGATGGGTGGTAGAAGGAAATAGTATGAGGATAAACTATCAATTACTCCTGTATGTGATTGGTATTTGTATCTCTACAAGCATACTCATTGTTATTTCTCTGAATGCTAAAAAAAAAAAAAAAAAAAAAAAAAAGAGGTGCGGGAGGAAGTCAGGGAAGGGAAAGAATTCATTTTGCAACAGTTGGTCATTTTAAAGCCATGTCAATTAGATTGCCTTTGTGACATGAATACTACATATTATTTTCTGTATTTAATTTACTTGGAAATATTATAGCAAATGGTAAGGTACAGATTAACTCATCTGTTTCCAGAACTCACTCCCTTATGCCCATAGATGTTCAAAGGCTGCACTTCTAATTGCTGGCAGGCACACATAACTCTGGAAAATTTCTTAGTAGCAAGGAGACTGGAAAAGGCAATGAGAATACGGATTCCAGTTATGTGCAATCTCCGCAATTATTAAGAACACCTACATGCTTAACTTTATTTAACAACAGCAGGCTGCATAAGCTAAATATTTACAGAAAAGTCTTGGCTGGATCAGGGCTTTAACCAAACACAGGACAGACAAATGACAGAAGGAAGAGAGATGTATCATCTTGAGTGAGAAGCCCGTGCTCATGCTGGGAGCCTGCAGCCCAGCCCAGCTCTCTTTTTCTCTTGTTCCAATGCCTGGTCCCTGAGACCATTCATTCTTTTAACTTCTTCTTGTGTATACCACATTAAAGGTGGGAGAAATAATTCATTTTTTCATATTCTGCTCATTAAAAATGAGAAGACAACTAAAAATACCCTGAATGACAGAACAGTTACTCTTCAGGCATGTTTCCTGGCGATCAAGGGCACTTTTCAACAAAAGTAGTCACTAAATTATGAACCTATTGTAACTATGTAAATAAGCCATAAATTAAAATAAAGACTCAAGTTATAGTAAGGCAATCTATAGAGTAAATCATCAGCTCTGTAGCAATACATCCAGCACCATCTGTCTCCAGCACATTTGCTGTCTAGTAACCTAACAGCTTCTGGAGTGCAAAATGTAATGTAGATATTTATTCTCTGTCAGTGTATTGGTTGCATCAAAACCAAGTCTGGGTCTCTGTGGAATCTCAAGATGCTGGACTAAAGCACAGAAGACTGTTGAGATGGGATCTTGTATCACCACCTACCAGATAAAGGCAGAACAGAACTGGAAGGAAGTAGACCGTGAGGGTGAAAGCAGGTGATTATTAATACCTGGAACGTTTTTGGGTTTTATGATGCATCTCTCAATCAGCCAAAAGACATTGTTAAATCAAAACCCAAACAACTCAAAAAACAAAAGCAGTTAAGCAGAAAAACTAACCAGGCAGGCTCTGTAGCACAGCATAGTGTGACTCTGACCTGATGGGACCATTTTGCAAGCTCCCCAGGCTCGGCAGTGCTGCCGAACGTCCACAGAGGGATGCTGCAAGAGCTGCAGCCCAGGGCTCTGCTCCTTCCCCTCAGCCACAGGCAGGGGCAGTGGGGGGACACTGTCCTTCCCCACAGCCTTTCACTGGGGTGTCATACCCAGCCGTGCACAGAAGCCTTTGTCCAGTTGGTCCCCACCTCAGGCTGAACCCATGTGGGGTTAGATGAGCCGGCCGCTGGTGGGGATCCTGATGGTCATGGTGGAAGGGAGGAAGGTGAGACCTGCAGGAGCAATATCTGCTCCCAAATTTGCATTTGGAATGAACTGCTGAATCTAAAAATAACAAACTTATGCTCATAAACAGGCTACAAGTAAACCACTCCCAATCACAGCACAATGGCAGCGGCAGGCCCACGGCTGTATTTTGATCATCACATACATCCTTTTGTGGTTTGCAGGCTGCTATTCCTAGCAGTGACGCAGGCACTTATTGCGGCATTTACCTGATCAGCAGATCAAAATAGCAACTGCGGGCAACGTGTGCAACAGTTGTGCGTACAGCATCTGACTACATCTGTACACTTTGGAGCCTGGTTTTCTGTACTGATTGCATCAATACTTACTGACGGCAACGACACTGACAGAGGTCATATGGTTACCCTACACATAAGGGAATTTAAATAACTAGATCTTAAATAACTGGATCTTTTGCAGGATCAAAGCTGCGAAAATAATGCCCTCTACAACTTTAAGGGAACATGAAAAGGGGTGTCCGGATAAAGAAATTTAATTGTGGTATTTTTACTTGCTTTAGTGGGGGTTGTGTGAAAACATGAAAAAGCCAGATGAGCAAGAGGCTGAGACAGGATCAAGGGCGTGTCAGATTATAGTAACATGGGTTAGCATGACCCTGTGAAACAACTCTCTGAAGCAAGTGATTACTAGAAGTGAATTAAGAAAGTGAGAAAAGAAATCCCCTGTGGGCTGTTATTTACTCCTGCTCTGCTTAAAGAGACCCAAGTTAGGTGTGAATAAGCTAGCCCTCTTATATGATAAAAGGCTGTACCCTGCAGATACACTAATACAGGTCCCAGAAGCTGTTGGCACCTAACTTCACTTGTACTAAACCTTCTTGCCTCTATGCTGGACTACCTGCTATACTGACTAAATTCAAAAATTGGCTTGCTGAAAGTTAGTTTTTCTGGTTAGCTTCAACATCGTCTTGTTCTTGGCTCTACCATCCATTTCTCCCATTAACTGAAGCCACTTAGAGGATGATAAATTCTGGTTGATTACTCAGGTCAAAGCAGCAGTACACCTTTTTAGTACAACTGCTGCTAGCATGTACCTTTGTTTCTCAGTTTCACAAACATAAAGATCTAAGATGAGCAGGAGTAACTTACCTGTTCATTTTTGGTCAGTCTTGTTTTGTTATGGATGTCAGATGTAACCAGGTTGAATCCATGTTTCTCTGATAAAATTCTCAAAAGCAAAACCACAGTTCGACTCCCACACTTTCCAACTCTGTTGTAGACCACCTGGCTGGGGAAAGGAAGTACCTAAATAAAGGTTGGAAAAAAAAAATGGAGTCAGTATACTAGTATCGTTGTTTCTGTGTACCTCTGAATCACAGCATGTTTTGATGGAAAATCAATAGATACATACAGGAGAATTTCTAGGACCCTGCCCAGGTCAGATGCACTCACTTCCACCAGCAAGCTAGAAGCTCTTTAGAATAGAAACACATGGTTGAGGAGGCGGCAAGCTGAGATTTTCCCCCTTATGATCCAGTTTAATGTAAGGGTGCAGATTGGTAGCTACTCCAGAAACACTAAGCCACTGCTGATGTCTTCTAGTGAAGATGATGATGGGCTTAAGCTTGCTGCTTGTAATCTCAATGCAATCAGCTAATCAGCTTTATTGGACCACCTCCCATACAAAGAATGAAGAGTGAATTTGCACTACAGTTTGGCAACTCAAAGTGAAGTTGACATAACGCAAGAGGAATGCTTGAATTGCAAAACTTCAGCTTAGAAAGAAAAAAAAACCCAAACAACCACCATTTGTACAGAGTTAAAATTAATCAACTGTTTCAATTTCAAATATAAACCTGAATCCTCCAAAGAGACTCAGAGCAAATCATGCCACTGGTTAGGTATGTACTTGTGGAATAAACAATGCCAGGGGCCATAGGTGGCCTGGAGGCCAGCTGGCACAGCCTGATCACATCTACACAAGTAACATGCACTAAACCTCAAAACAGAACAGCCACACCCAACCTGCCCACCAGGAATGGTCTCCAGCCCACGCTAACTCTTGCACTGTGCTCTCCTCCCTAGGAAACCAGAACTGTAATTTACTGTCTTGAAGTACATTGGATGCAGCCTTGTTTTGTTCCTGGACGATGTCTGTGGGCTATTCTTTCAGTAAAAGGCATTCTGAAGTCACACTGTTGCATTAAATGAGTATTTGGTGTATAGCATATAGCAGCAGCATTTGATAGTATAGGCCAAGAGGCATCTTTTTTCAAGCCTTTTAAACTGGCTACCCCGTCAGGAGCTCACAGTTTTGTCTACAGCAGTGCCTATATGGCACTTACTTACAGAAAGCTCATTTTTCTATTATGACGAGAGGCACAAAATGTCTCCCAACACAGAGCCTGCGCCCTGGCTCCAGGTGATGTGTTCAGCGCAAGGAGTGGCTCATGTGCCAAAGTGATGGTGTGTCTCAACCTACAGTTACTTTTGCTGTTGATGCAATCATGTTCTCTCAGCAGAAGCATTTCTAACATAAAAGCAGTCAGATGAGGCATATGGGATTCTGGCACTTCTCATGGTATTTAAAAATCTAATAGATCTTCATCAGGGAAGCAAAATAATTCCTCAGGCAACCTTACAGATTACTTTCAAAGAGGACTGCAAGTTAGAATAAAAAAAAAAAAAAAAGAAAAATCTGGATTCCCTTATGTATAAGGGGAAGATACTGGCACTTTGCTATCAATGTTACACTTCATGACCAAAAGAACATTACTATTGTTACTGGTTGCAATGTTTAGGATATCCTCCACTGCAACATAAATATGGGAGCTGTCATTCTCCAAATTACTGAGGGAAGGGGTAGAGTATTTGGTAATCATAGCCTCAGATTAAGCTTTCCAAGTCCCAGGACATCCCATTTTGCTGATTCAGCAAGTAATCATGGGCCTCCCAAGGCTCATTTAAAACCTCCATAACATACCGAGTCTTACTATTTCGTAATGTTTATATAAAGTTTTCTATGAGAAACTTAGCCCCCTTATTCCTTGTCAATCTTTCCTTCAGAAGCCTTGCTTCCTGTGAAATGCAAAATCCCAGCCTCAATGATGAGAGAACTCTGAAGGTGATGAATTTAACATCTCTACGTTAGAGCTGTAGCTAACCTTTTTCAAAACACCTGCTAATGATGCCTGAAAGGTTAACATCTGAACACATTTTATTATGTTGATGACACCACCAGGGACACCATGATGAAAGTTTTTCTTATGCAAGAACACACAAGCAATATTCTGGATCGTCCCCTTTTTTGGTTCATTTTGTTCTGTAACAAAAACAACATCAGTATTTGCCCTGGCCCTGCAGCACTATCCACACAACAACACTGTAACTTGTGGAACGGGAGTTTCTCCTCTGCTCAGACATATGCTTTTGGCATACTTTGCTGTACAAGTATGTGAAAGTCGTCAAGAGAAACGCTAAGTAGATGCTGACAAGTGCCAGTGAAGGAGCAAGAGCACATACAGTATGTGTTTGCCTAGCATCTCGGAAACGTGACAAATGATGTGAGTTTGTAGGGCTATGGAAACGTTTAAAAATGCTTCATAATTATTAACTGCTTTGATTTTCATAGCAGAGTTGTATTTTGCAATATAGCAAGCAAAATTTTTTCTTCATTGGTACTTCACTCATTTCAAGGGGAATTTTGCTGCACTCAAGTTACATTCAAGTTCCAATTAAATCCCTGACTTGATTAGCCAGTATCTTTGAGTGAATCTTATTAATATCGTTCTTTAAAAATGAAACAAAATTAAAGCAGGCCTTTGTAAAGTCTCTATTCTAAGTTCAAACAACTTTAATAGCTAAAAAAACTACAGTTGCTACCAGGTTTGGCCAGTTCTCACTTTTGTTTCTGAAATTCACCTTCCTACCTAGCACAATTCTGTTCTGCACACAGACGATAACCATGGCAATCCCCAAAAAGAAACCATAAACAAATACTCACTGCAGATAAAGAAAACTAAAATAAAGGGCTATTATTTTCAGACAACTGTTTAGCTTAAAGGAGGCCAATATATCAATGCTTTGATTCAGTAAACATCTGAATGCACTTAGGTAAAATCGGACAAGATTCAAGATAAATGCTACAGCTCAAAGCTCACTTCAGAAGAACACAGTCATTAACGGTAATCAAAACTTCACCTGCAGCACTGCTGAATGTGGCTAGCTGTAAAGATGCACTGCTGAAGCTTTGCTCATGTTTCGCCTGTTTACGTCACCATTCCACTTACACACCTAAATGCACCTGCGGGTGTGCCCAGTTCACAAAGCCATGCAGTACACAGGCTTTGTGAACTGGTTTAATGTGACCAGTTACCTTAGGACACTGCAAATATGCTTTCTGCGTTTTAGAAAATGTTTAAGTAATTTCTTGGAAGAAGAAATACTTCTTCCAGAAACCTCAGTTGGTATCAGGTCAGGCAGATCTAGAAAAGCAAGAAATTGAGAACTTTTTCAGAGAGGAACTTCTTTCTTTTCCTTCTCAAGATACAACAGACTCAGACAGTATAAGAGACAGTGGCAGAGGAGGCACTTGAAAAGAAGGCTCCTATTATATAAGCAGAAACAAGATGGGAAACAGCAGTTGGAGGTTGACAAAATGCTAACTAGATTACGTTTTGTTTTAAAGTAAGAGTACGTATTATGTAGACTGACTAACTGCTGACGTGATGCTCTGGCAACATGATATTCATGTAACAACACACACAACTTCAAAATAATTACAGAGTGACTTGTATTGAGCACTGCATCAAAGCCCAGAGGTAAAATAAACAATGCAAACATGTAACTCACTTGGAGTTATATGAATTAGTACTTACTGTACTTATAAAAAAGTAAAACCAACAGTATAATTACAACAGCTCTCTCCAAGGGTTTGAAAAGTTATATAAGAATTTACATATCAGTTCAAATTGGTATTTTTTTCTTTTGTTCCACAGTTAAAGAAGGTGTCAAGAATCATTGCGAATGAAGTCAAGGAGAAGAAAAAGTAAGTTTAACTCAAAATGAATTTGCATTACGGATGACAACTGTCAAGCAGCTCTACAGGGTAGATCTGCCAGTCTCAGGAGGGGAGACGGTTCTCAGATAGCCTGACAAAGTCAGATAGCTTCCACCTTCAGCGGTGGCTCTGTCTCCAGGTAAACCTGTGCACCATTTAAAAAAAAATTAGGCTGGATAATTACTTGCTTAGCCTGGATAATTACTTGCACTGTCAACAATTTAGGGATCCATGAAAGGCCTAAATCATTCCACTTTTACTGAGCCAAATCCAATATAATTTTGCCCAATTGCCAAAAGTTTCCCAGCCCAGGTACAATTTGCCCAGACAAATAACTTATGTCAGAGATAGATGTTCCCAGAAAGCAATCCATTATCTTCACAGCTTCTGCAAGTAAGTGACCTGTGCCCTTACTGATGAGAAGGGCCAGAAGTGGGTGCCAGAACTTCTGAGCAGACATTAATCTGTGGTCAGATAGCACTCCGTGTTTATCAGGTGAATGAGGCCAACCAACACAGACAAAACCAGTACGACCACAAAAGCAATAAAACATTTGCTGATGTCACACATCTCTATATACCACATCTTCCCAGTGCAACCTCTCCGTTTTTTCTCTGTCCAACTGAGACAGAATTAAAAGGATTTTAAAAATGGCCTAACAGATCAACGCTATGGCCCGTTTGGCTCATGAGTGGTGGTAGATGCTTGTTAGGCACCTGCAAACCTGAGTGCTATCAGCAGTCCATTTCTCTCCAGTATCTCTCCTCCTCCTGCTGTGCCCCCATATTGCATATGGAATGTTAAAAGGCACATCCTTGTCTCTTGCGTGAAGAATTTTTTATGCAACCTGCCATACCAACAAATTCCAGAATTTCATTACCCACCACGCATTTCATTTCTAGCTCATCTTTTGTCACTTCCAGAGAATACCCATTCTCATACTGTGGGTTTCATGAAGACAGATCAGATATTTCAGTCACCAGCTTTGAGATCTTCTTAGATCCATCAAACGTCTCTTTTTTTAACTGAGGTTTGTCACAAGCCTGCCATGGCCTATTTGAAGAGAAACTCTGAGGCCACTAAGAGATAACATATTCCAAACCTAAATACAGGAATTGCTGCACAAAATCTAATTCCAAACAAATATCAACTTATTCACTTTTAAAGCAATCACAACAAAAAATTGCTAACACAAGACATGACTGAAAGACGAGAAAGAGAAAACAAAATAAGTGACTAGTTAGCC